GAATTGATAGGGTGGACAAAGACAAACTATTTAACACGGGTGGAACACGAACAAGGGGACACAGATGGAAACTTAGTACCCAAATGAGCCACGGAGAATTGTTTCAGTGTCACAGTAGTTAACAAAAAAGAATGCATTAGGCAGTGAAGTAGTGGAAGCTGACTCCATACACAGTTTCAAATGTTGATTTGATAGCGCCCAAAAGGCTCCAGAATTTGTACACCAGTTGAGAGACGGGACCAAAGAGCCGAAGCTCAACCCCTGCAAGCAAAACTAGGTGAGTACAAATCTGGAATACGAGGCTTAAACCTTACTTCGCTAGACACCAGAATAAACATGAGCACGACGTAGAAGATACTCCCAGACAATCTGGACTGCCCCTGAGTACAAGTAACAGGATGAACACCTCAGCGGGGGTTTCTTCTTGTTGGGGGGAGTTGCACGAGCTCCTATAGCGGCAGGTTGACTCACAAGATGAGTAACTGCTAAGTAAATTCGCCCTTGAGGGCAAAAATTATAAACAAATAATGAAGAAGGCAACAGGGTACCCTGACCCTGGCGTCCCCACTAGGGCACTAGGCTATAAGCTCTTGCTAACAATTTCTTCCATTTGCACTTGAAATCTTCCACGTTTTTGTAGTTTAAATATGTTAACATAGTAAACTGTGAATAGTTCAATAGCAGTTATTTAATTATGAAATATAATAAAGAGTGAGATTTAGAATATTAGTTAAACGTAAATGATGATCCCATGTGGGCAACACTGGCCCGTAGGGGTAACTGGGTACTGTCGGGGGGGAATGGGGGAATGGGGGTGGGGAGGGTTTCTGAGAGTCTGTCTATGGTGGGTACAGATGGGGTAGGGGGGGGGGGGGGGGAAGGCGGAGCTTGCGTTCGTCTATGGGAACCTACAGCAGTGTTGCCAGATTGGGCTACAAATAGCGAATTGGGCTACTTTTGAGAGCCCCGCGCTCCCAAATTTTTAATTTCGCTACTTGCTACTTTTTGGGCTAATTTAAAAGCAAGATGTGCTAATTTGGGCTATTAAAGTTAAGAATGTACGATTGCGAGTTACATGAAAGTAACTAAGCTGTAAATAATTGTAATTAACAATTGTAAATATTAATTAATACTAAATAATATTATTTAATAAATTAGTCCCAATTCAATGCAGAGTTTTCTTCCAAGCACAGAAACTTGTAAATATAAATACAAGATAATAGATAGATCGATAAATAAATAGACAACTTTCAAATATTGCACCAAGTAATGGCGAAAGGAAAAAACTAGACAGTATACATTACATTTGAAATTAATAATGGATGAATTGTAATAAATTGGTGTATGTTTGTATGTATACCAAAGTCCATTTAATAGCAGAATTTAGCCATTTTGTGTAAAAACTTTTATATCTCATATTATTAATTATAACAGTAATCGAAAAAAGTCAGTTTGTATATACAAGAGATGAAACAACGAGCCATGAGCTAGAGCGATGTATTGAGTCCATAAGGAGGCCGAGCTTCCAGAAATACCTTCCTGTGATTGGCTGTTGCGGGGAATACCAACACTCTTTTATGAATACAATTTTAACTAAGAAATAGGTCCTTGTGCACAACAACAAGGTGTTTGTGAAAAAGAACAACAGTTTCTGTTTTGCACCTGACAGAAATCTCCATCTAACTGAATAATTTACTCGAATAAGAGGGCAGAGCAGCGTATCATTATTTGTGTGAGGCAACTCCCACTGATGACGTCACAAGTTAGGTAGCCAGTCCATGTTTCTGTAACAGTCGTTACATCCTGCAGTATTTAATTATCACTATATTAATACTTTTAAATACTTAACATTTCACTTTTTAGGTAGATTAAAGTTGAAGCAGAATGTCATAAGCAAGGATGCTGTGTTGAATAAAGATAATTTATTAAGTGGATGGAGCCTTTAGCTGATCCCTTCCTGTGATTGGCTGTTGTGTGAATGTCAACAAAGAATATCTAGGCGGAGCTTGGAACCTCCTACCCGAGCACAACAACCCGCCTTATGGGTTGCTGTTTGGCTATTTATAGTGCGTTGGAAAAAAAAGAGATGGCGCTAGTTGTATTTTGTAGGGTAATTTGTTATAGGTGTAATTTGATGTCAACAGATGGCGTAAGCTGTACCTTATGGCCACTGTTGACCAGCCAGTTGATAGTGTTCTCTTCTGCCGACAGATGGCATCAGCTGTATCATTATTACTTCCGAATTCCTTTTAAACACTGATCTACAAATCCCTTGACTTATGATACGGTTTTATACCATTTATGATAAGTATTAGATAACTGGAGTTCCACAATTACTTTTATTTATCAACTGTTCAGGATATCATCATATAACGTCTGGTTAGGACGTACTGCTCTCGATTGATGAAGATTAAGCCACCCAAGAGGTGGCACGGGCATGAATAGCCGTAAATACTGCTCTCGTAATATTATTCAGGGGGGTGGGGGAACTATCAAGTGAAAGCGCCAAGCCATTACAACTATATAGCACTCGGAAGGGGTCAATATACAGATTTGAGATGGAACGGGGGAAAGGAATGGTGCCCAACCTCTTGGGCGGTCGGGGATTGAACGCGGACCTGTAGGAAACGAGACCGTCGCTCTACCGTCCAGCCCAAGTGGTTAAGCGTAATATTAATAAAACAACAATTTATGCATATAATAACTGCATTTCACACTAAAAATACTTGGATATATTGAAATTTGGTAGTGAATTCCAATCTAGGAATCTCCTATGACTAAACTGTACTTTTTAATTATTTTTATGTACTTTCTACTTATTATTAAATTATTAAGTACTTACTATAATAATTAAATAAATTATGTTATTTAATATTTAAATTAAATGATAAAATAATAGATAATAATAAATCATTGTGTAGAGGGACAGGCAGCCAGTGTATATATACATGTTAGGCTTATACCAAGGTCCCACAAAGGTGCCAAATTAAAGACTAGGTGCTGCCGGGGCGGGCCAAAGGGCTGCTGGCGGCCCTGGCCAGGCTGAACTTCAGCGCCCTTATAATCACCATTGTTTAATAATCTTCACAGGGAGAAACAACTGTAAATATAGGAATAGTTTATTACAACATACACGGTAAAGAAAACAGCTCGGAAACTAAGGAAATAAAGCTGCCGAAAAAAACATTAAAGTCCACTTCAAGTTCAAGTATTTTTATTGAGACAATAAAAAAATACAGCTCAAAGGGATAGAGTAGCTTAGGCTATTTCTAACCCCCCCCCCCCTTTACTTCAAGTCCCTCAAGGGGCGCACAAATTCAGTGAGTACAAATACACAAATCACAATACAAGAATCCCATTTAACATAGCAGGTTAAAATAGGAAGCACAGCATATAAGTGTTACAAGTTACAAGACAACATTAAGAAAACATGGAGCACAATTTCACAAATATTGGGATCAAAGAAGATTTTAAATAACAAACCAATACTTTAAATAACAAAAAAAATGGGCTACTTTTATTGCAAATTCGCTACTTTTAGACCGTAAGCTCGCTACTTTCCGCAATATGGATCTGGCAACCCTGCACCTACAGCCTAGTGTGTGTCCTACACGCCATGTAATAGGGGCAGATATGTTGTAATCTTTTATCTAAGGTTATAACTATTATCAGTGTTGCGAGTAATCATTGCTGTACATTCATCATATGAATATATTCAACTGTTAAGTCTCCTCTCTTCCCCTTGTTGCCAGGGTCACAAGGCATTGTCAGGTTTACCGAGGTCTTCACTACCCAAGGGCGAGCCTGTCCTTGTGGTCGCCTCTCTCATCCCTGGCCCGACCCATCGTGTACCTACGGTAAGATATATGTATAAGCGTCACAGGCTTCATGGGTCGCTCCATGATACAGTTACATAGTTACAGCCCCGCTCCTGTGCCAGGTAAGTCCACTACGGGCTCACCATAACCCGTGCTACTTGCAACTTTTTGTTCTCCGTAGCTTATTAAACTAAAACAACAACATGGGTCGGTTTCACCCTGCTTGTCTCCATCCAACCATTCTCTCCTAACTTTAACCCTCCCTCATTCCGCCCTCTTTTTTATCCCTACTCCATCTCCTCACCCTACAATCACTCTCCTCCCCCCCTCCCTCACTACTTCTCTCATCCCTACAACAATTTCTGCTTAGCGTACCACCTCACGGTCCCTCCCTATTGCTGTCTTGATGGCATCAATTTTTTTCTTAAGATTCTCTAAACAACCGTTTGATTCTCTTCACTCACTGTGTGTGTGTGTTATGTGTGCATGAAAAACAAACATTTAGTTACAATTCGTTTCAGTCCGCTACCCTAGGCGTCGGAATCCGCGGTTTTAATGGTAGAAAAATGGGGCATTGGAAATAGGCCTAGGGAGGAGGGCAGGCGTCCCTCAGGGTACCCAGTTACCACCACCACTATTTTATTATTTTTTTCCACTGTGAAGGCTGCAGCGTGTGAGGCAATGTGTGCAAGACCTGTTGATGCAACAGTGAAGTGAGAGTGAGTCACCAATCAGTACACTTAGCAATGGGGGTCCCGTGAGTTGAGATAGAGTTAAAACTTGCAAAAGTCACCATTGACCCCTTGCCATCTTGGACGCCTCTTTACGTGACGTGAGAGTTGATAGGCTTGTCTGGCGATGGTAATGAGGTGTTGGACATTTCTCTCAATGATCCTAATTGCTTAATGGAATACAAACATTAATTAGCTAAATTTGCGCTGATATGTCTTTAAATTGCAAATCTCGGGTTGCGTCATCTGCCTAAAACCCTTGCCGTTTGCATGAAGTTCCTGTCAATAACTTATGCCTATATCCTTGAAACCAAATCGAACAGGGGGACAATGCAGATCGAATCCTCGTAGAATGTATATTAAATATTCATAAATTGAGGCTGAGGACAGAAGAAGGAAGGGATAAAGTATATTGACTAGTTGTAAACTGTTGGGTGTAGCGGGGGTCGAGCGAGAGTGGCAGTGGTAGTGGTTGGTCGACTGTCGAGCGGGCTGGTCGTGTGTAGGCCTCGCTCCTGCCTCTACCATCTCTCATTCCTTGTTCCTATTGTGTTGTAAACCATCCAAGGAGATCTGCGGTATCACGTTTTATTTAATTTTTAAAGCGTTTTGGTGATTTAAGATTCATTGTGGCATTTTAACCTTAGATCGTCGGGCACAATAAACCGCCAAAATGATGAAATATTTGGCAGCCGCCAAAATCTTAAAGAAACACAATGCCCAGGTGGACAACGCAGTGTTCCACTTGCATTACCGCGTGACCTTCGTGGTGTTCCTGGTGGCGGGCGCCCTGGTCACCGCCAGGGAGTTCATCGGCGCGCCCATCCAATGCATCTCCAAGAGCGTGCCGGCCAACGTCCTCAACACCTTCTGCTTCATCATGTCCACCTTCAGCGTGCCCAGGCACTGGGACCAGCCCCTGGGCGACGGCGTGGCCTACCCCGGCGTGGGCACCCACGACGAGGAGAACGACGAGATCGTCTACCACGCCTACTACCAGTGGGTGCCGTTCGTCCTCGTCCTGCAGGCCATCATGTTCTACATCCCTCGCTACCTCTGGAAGAATATGGAGGGCGGCCTCTTCAACACCATCCTGGCCGGCCTCGACAAGATGACCCTTGACGAGAACGCCAGGCACAAGAAGCACAAGATCTTGGCACAGTACATGATCAGGCACCTCCACATGCACCTGAACTGGGCAATTAGGTAAGCTTTTTCACTCTGCCCTCTGTAACGTGAGCCTGACGCTTTATTTCCGACGCTTTATTGTCCGAAATAAGCTTGTTCATTGCTTTACTGTCCGAAATAAGCTTATTCCGACGCTTTACTGTCCGAAATAAACTTGTGCATTGCTTTACTGTCCGAAATAAGCTTGTGCATTGCTTTACTGTCCGAAATAAGCTTGTTCATTGCTTTACTGTCCGAAATAAGCTTGTTCATTGCTTTACTGTCCGAAATAAGCTTATTCCTTGCTTTACTGTCCGAAATAAGCTTATTCCTTGCTTTACTGTCCGAAATAAGTTTATTCCTTGCTTTACTGTCCGAAATAAGTTTATTTCTTACTTTACTGTCCGAAATAAGTTTATTTCTTGCTTTACTGTCCGAAATAAGTTTATTCCTTGCTTTACTGTCCGAAATAAGTTTATTTCTTGCTTTATTGTCCGAAATAAGTTTATTCCTTGCTTTACTGTCCGAAATAAGTTTATTCCTTGCTTTCCTGTCCGAAATAAGCTTATTGCTTTACTGTCCGAAATAAGCTTATTGCTTTACTGTCCGAAATAAGCTTATTCATTGCTTTATTGACCAAATTAATCTTATACATTACTTAACTGCCCAAAATAATCCTATTCACTGCTCTGCTCAGAAATCTTATTCACTCCTCGACTGTCTGTAACGAGCTTATTCATTGCTAGATTATCTTTAGGTTATCTTGAGATGATTTCGGGGCTTAGCGGTCCAATTACCACAAGCTACCACAAACTACACAAACTTCAGAAAGCTTCCTGGCAATACGTTAGTAATGAATAAATATGATATATTTACTCATTATAATGTTGGTGCTGAATGTACAACACGAAAAAACATAATTTTAATCTGAAAAAGTATCTTTTTATAAAGAAATTAGACGAAAATAAAAAGCTGGTGACGCCAAATCAAGTCGACGATCCAAGCTTCGGTTAGGTTAGGTTTGGTTAAGTTAGGTTAGGTTAGGATAGGTTAGGTTTGGTTAAGTTAGGTTAGGTCAGCCTAACTTAATATATCATATTTATTCATTACTAACGTATTGCCAGGAAGCTTTCTGAAGTTTGTGTAGTTTGTGGTAGCTTGTGGTAATTAGACGGACCCGGGCTTAGCGTCCCCGCGGCCCGGTCCTCGACCAGGCCTCCTTTTTGTTACACATCCCCAGGAAGCAGCCCGTAGCAGCTGTCTAACTCCCAGGTACCTATTTACTGCTAGGTAACAGGGGCATCAGGGTGAAAGAAACTCTGCCCATTGTTTCTCGGCGGCGCCCGGGACCACAGGATCACGCGTACAGTGTTCTGTCCGCTCAGCCACCGGCTCACTAAATAATAGTCGTACTGGCTTTACCCTCATTAGTCTTGAGAATGCTTCTTAACGTTCACCATCGGATATTTTAGGTCTTGCAACTTCGTTTGCAAAGTGTATCTTACATTGGAAATACTGAATATCAACCGCTGCTCAGTCGAATGATTGATGGCCCTTATGTAGTTTCCTGCTGGCAGCTAAATAAATATCTGGTCATCCGGACTAGGAGGATTAAACTGCGAACAACGGCGTCTTAACTTAACAACCTGGTTGCCTAGACCGCCACCCATATGCGGTGAGAATCTCTGAACCCCCTCGCGATAATGTGTAGGTCTCTAAGCATGCATTTGCGCGCTCCGATAGCCTGAAGGGCAGTTTAGGGTGGTTTGTAATATGCGTATTCTGACCAAACGATGGTTGACAGACTAATATTTGTAACATTCTCGTAAGAGATGAGCACTGCCCCTCCCCCCTCATTTTTTGTTATAACCACGTTTAAGACTGATTTGTGTTTTTTTTTAATTCTTGTGCGTATACAAATCCAATGACCAGGGGCCAGATTCACGAAAGCACTTACGCAAACACTTACGAACTTGTACATCTTTCCTCAATCTTTGACGGCTTTGGTTACATTATTAAACAGTTTACAAGCGTGAAAACTTCCCATTCAACTGTTGTTATTGTTATAAACAGCCTCCTGGTGCGTCGGAGCTCATTAATTGTTTAATAATTGGAAACAAAGCCGCCAAAAATTGAGAAAATATGTAAACGTTCGTAAGTGTGCATGCGTAAGTGCTTTCGTGAATCTGGCCTCATGTTACGACAGGTGAAAACTTAATAATTTATCAAGCGTACAAATACAACTCACGCAAGCACGGCGGTTCATCCCGTATATATTTTTCCCTCCGAAGAATGCATTACTGAGTAGGCTACGTAGCCCCCCATCGAACTATACACACACATACATATCATACGGAATGATTGGTTGACTCCTGGAGACCCAGGTTAGTAGGGAGGTAAGGTAAGGTGCTAATTATAAGGGTCACTAAGCCGGAATACCTATACTGTATAGCACTTGGAAGGGATATCGGAACAAGGAGCTGGGATGTAAGGAAGCTACTTCCTGCCACCATAACCAGAAACGCACAGACCCCAGCAACCCACCTAACCTGTCTGAGTCCGATGCATAGAAAACTTAGATATTTGGGAAAGTTATTTCTCCTTAATAGGCTGCATTTATAACGTTGGTTACGATAACGTAAAAACAAGCGTGACATTGAGAGGAATAAACTCCTCCAAAGGATGCCTGGTCAACCGGACTGTGATTCACGTGAGACTGCGAGCAGCACCTTCTAACACCCTGTTTAACCAGACCACCAACTAGGAGGCCTGGGCGAGTATTCCAGCCCGTCCTCCTAAGATTTACCAAGTTACAATTTCAAGAAAACGGTCAATTTAAAATGTCCTCTCCTAACCTACCAGAGGACCCAAAACAAAAAACGGGACAGTACGTCAATTTCGCAGTCCGCTTCCATTTTCTAGTACGACAATTTTTGGCCTTACGTAACGCTTAAGATGGAAGTACGACGTTCTTTGTAGGAGGACAGGTTGAGTATCCATTTAGCATTTGGGCAACCACTTGGGGAAAACTAAATTTGTCCTTAATCATGGTGGCTTTGTTTACATTTATTAATCAGTTTGAGCTCAGAAGCACTACAGGAATGTTTATAACAATATTATCCTTTGGTTGTGAAGCTTTTAAAATAGTAAAACTTTAATAAATATTAACAAAAGCTGCCATGGTTGTTTGTTGAATCCCGGCCCTGGCCAGAGAGCGGGCCGCGGGGGTGGATGATCCCTGGGACCAACACAAGGTAAACACATGATAGGCTGGTCAAGGGTAGTGGGGAAAATAGACTAAGCTAAGGAGAGGTTGCAGGAGAGACAACACACACACTTGGGTTATTGTCAAATTAAACACGTCGATAAATCAAGTTTTCCAATTGTAAAAACCATATACCTGTACTGTAGATGGTTAGGGGGTAGGCAGTGTTGGGTAAGGTTAAGAGGGATTTAAATTCCATTGGCGACCGTGGTGGGTGCGGCGTGGCTTGTGTCCTCTCGGTGGATGTGTCCTCTTGTGTACATGTTTATTGAGACAAGAAAGAAATATATCTCAAATGGATAGAGTAGCTTAGGCTATTTCTACCCCCCTATCCTCTTATGTATTCACCTAGTTGTGCTTGCGGGAGCGGCCCGCCTCTCAACTGTCAATCAGCCGGAGCCGGTCGGCCGAGCGGACAGCACGCGGGACTTGTGATCCTGTGGTCCTGGGTTCGATCCCAGGTGCCGGCGAGAAACATTGGGCAGAGTTTCTTTCACCCTATGCCCCTGTTACCTAGCAGTAAATAGGTACCTGGGTGTTAGTCAGCTGTCACGGGCTGCTTCCTGGGGGTGGAGGCCTGGTCGAAGACCGGGCCGCGGGGACACTAAAGCCCCGAAATCATCTCAAGATACCTCAAGATACCGAAGATCAATCAACTTTACCCCTCCCCCACAGGAAGCAGCCCGTAACAGCTAACTCCCAGGCATATATTTACTGCTAGGTGAACAGGGGTATCAGGGTGAAAGAAACTCCATTTGTCTCCGCCATCGCAGGTGATCGATCCCCAGACCCCCTAGGATTACGAATCCCGAGCGCTGTTCACCCAGCCACCAAGCCCCCATGGGGCTTTGTATGCACGCGCGCCTAATCTCCAATTTGAAGGCAGATGAATAATATTGTCTTGTAACGTAGGAATATGATGCGAAATTCTGATCACACGAGCTCCTGCAACTCGTTCTCTCTCTCCAGTAACTATCCACTTGGACTAGTTGGCACAGCGACGGCCTCACTTCTTGTAGGTTAGGGTTCAATCCTCGATAGTCAAAGTGGTTGGGCATCGTTCGTTCGGGGGCTATGATTAAATTGTAAAGAACAAGCTCAACTCAACAAAGCTTGTGGTCAGATTATCGAAATCGCATATATATCATGTTAGGCTATATCAACTTGGGTAGGCTTCGCCCCCTTACCTATCTTTTACCCCTATCTTTTACTCCCATCCTATCCTCGTCCCTTTCGTATGCTACTGCCATACTGGCTTAGCGGTCTCTCCTCATAATTTCCTTCTTTCTATCCTATAGCAATTTAATCTATTGTGTCGCAAATTAATACAAAAAACAAAATGACTGAGAAAAATATTAGAAGTTTCGTGTTTCGATGAGACGGCTGTCTGTGGCAAGGCGGTCGAGTTGAATAGTTCTGAGTTTACAGATCTGGATTTGTTTACCGATCTGGATTTGTTTGCAGATCTGGATTTGTTTACGGATCTGGATTTGTTTACCGATCTGGATTTGTTTGCAGATCTGGATTTGTTTACGGATCTGGATTTGTTTACGGATCTGGATTTGTTTACGGATCTGGATTTGTTTACGGATCTGGATTTGTTTACGGATCTGGATTTGTTTACGGATCTGGATTTGTTTACGGATCTGGATTTGTTTACAGATCTGGATTTGTTTACGGATCTGGATTTGTTTACGGATCTGGATTTGTTTACGGATCTGGATTTGTTTACGGATCTGGATTTGTTTACAGATCTGGATTTGTTTACGGATCT